CGGATGTGAGAATGTGCTCGTTCCATGCAAGGGCACCGACACGAGCCGTATGCCCCATCATTGTGCGAAGTCGACGCTGGGATTGTGCGTCCCAAATCTGCACCTGACCACGATTTGTGCCAATGGCAATGTGTGAACCCTTGGTTGAATCAGTAAATTCACTTTGGCGAGGGTAGGATGATACTTACGCGCTGTATCCAATTGACACTTGTAACCGAATCATCCGTCAGCTCGCAGAGCTTTGTCACGCGACCAGATGCCGAGTTCCACATGTAAACACAGGAACCGAGACCGACGCCGAGTGTATTCTGGCTGCCCCAATCGACGAGATTGAGGTAGAAATCGTCGGCGAGATCTGGCGCGTCCAGCACCTTGTATGGTACCTTGGACACTGCTCGTGGGGCTCGTTGCGGACTAAGGAGCATCCGCTGGCTGCTGTATTTGATAGGTGAAAGGCTGTAAAGATCAGAGTGTGCGTTCAGATTGAGAACGCCATGTCGACTTGAGGGTGTCCGTGAGGGAGTCGGCTGACCCGCGTATGAGAAGAGATTCTTGTGAGGGGTTGAGGGGGTATGAGTAGAAGGTGGTAATGATGTCGTAGCTCTCGTCGGCGGAGTGTGTGATCGACCTCCCGTGCGCATGTTAGCACTGTCTGTGGGAGAAAGACTTTGTGGGAAGGCCTGCGGTACCGAGCCTTCGAACATTTCGTGTCGCAGAACGGCAGAATAGGTTCTATTCGCTTCTTCAGCTGATAGCATGATTAGTGTTTGTAAGAGAGAGAAAGGTCTGTGGTTTGACCTACTCTTTTGAAAGTGCAACTCGCTGTGAGGGGTGCGCCTGGCCTTGGAGGGTGTGGCGGGCGAGCCATCCTCATGGAGTAAATTGAAGCTTGCTTGGAGATCTTGACCGGCACGATTTGGTATGAACCTAGTCTCTTGTTAACCCAACGATTCGCTTGCTCACGGGGGACGGTTGCACTCACCTGTCGCCGTGTATCCGCGCACGTTTCCGGCTTGGGCTCGCTATGGGTGTTCGTTCCCTAGCTCGGCCAGCATGTTCAAAGTCGGCAAGCGCTTTGGAGAGGGCCGTGGGGTCCACGGCATCGGAATTCTGGTCTTGCGCTTTGGCTGCGAAAACATGCTGATTGCGCTTGTGGGTGGCGGTCGGCGGCGTTTTGGACTCTGGCGGGGAGATGAGCGTGGGGGTCGCGATGCCCTCCTCGACGCATGCCGTCGCAATTGCGGCGTCCGTGACCGTGCCCCGCACCATGGTCACAGTCTCGTTGGGTGTGTGATCGGGTATATGCGCCTCGGGGTGGTGAGTCAAAAGAGTGTCTCGTCCTCGCTTTTCGCTACTCGGGAGCAGAGGGTCGGGAAGGGGCGAGGGCGCTGGACGAGTGGGAGATTGATGAGCCGGCAAAACGATTGGCGCGTAGTATTGGAAGCGATTGGTGCAAAGTTGGCGTGAAATAGGCAGTGAAGTGGATTTGTGAAGTTGCGAGCGACCCAGACCCCTTGGTCGCTTGGTGGTGGTGTTGCTAGTAATAGTGTTGTCCTGCTCTCACTTTGCGACGTTCGAGCGCGACGCACAATAGACCAACACAATGGCCTGCGTCCTACTTGGGCGGCGTTCGCATGGCAGTATGGCTTAGACGGGCGGTGTGGTGGCGGGCGCGCAACGGGCGGCGGGAGAGATGGGGGTGGAGGGACTTTGTTGTGATGTCGGAGCTCGTGGGTGACGGGCCGCAAGCAGCTTCGGGGGGGGGGAAGGAAGGATCCAGGGCAACAAAGGCGGCGGCGGGCGCAGGCAAGGAGAGTGACAACACAGGGCTGGACACAAGGGCGAGCTCGAGCAGGGAGGGTTGTGGTGAAGGGAGATGGGATGAAAAGCAGGCAGACAGGCACACAGGCGCGCGCACAGCACACATACACATACAAGATATATGCACTGACTGTGGAGGTGGAACCTCACTTGGCCTTGTTGTCGTCTTGTCGCTGTTGTGATAATGGCGACGCGTTGTGGCTGCAAACCCCCCTGCAGCCAATCATGGCCCGGGGGACGCTACATCCCCCCCACCCCCCGCAGTTCGCCCTGTGGCTTCAGACACCCAATGGCTTGCTCTACTCTACTCTGGTTACATAATCTCTCTCTCTCTCTACCTACCTACCTATCTACCTACCTAAGGCGTATGCTCGCGAACTCTGCAGCCAAAATCCGCACTGCACCCGGCAACCAGCACAGTCCGTGATCTCTGTTGCCATCTGTATTCGCAATCATTTTGCCTTGTCACCTGCTCACCTACTTCTCCAAGCCATGACGAACAAGCCTTCCCTCAAAGCCGCCGAGGACTTCTTGTCCTTCGTCAATGCCTCGCCTACTCGTACGTGCGGCCCAGCATCATGATCTTGTGTCACTCATTAACTCTTTGCTGTAGCCTTCCACGCCGTCAAGTCGGCTAAAGAGCGACTGGAGAAGGTAGGCTTCAGGCCGATCAAGGTATGTGCCATCTCGCCTGCTAGCATAGTGTATGCATGCAAGCCATGCCGTGTCAAGGACTCGAGGCCCATCACGGTCGAGTCGACGGCTAATCCTGCTCACGATGAATCAATCACCAACAAAGTCCTCACATCGCCGCTCCCTGCAAGCTACGCCGAATACATTCTGCCATGCTCACCTCGACTGCACACCACTAACGGTACGCTATAGGAGCGCGACTCATGGGCGCCCACGCTGCAGCCAGGGGGGAAGTATTATCTTACTCGCAACGGCTCTTCGATTGTGGCCTTCGCCATTGGCAAAAAGTGGAAGGCTGGTAACCCCATCGGTATGATCGGTGCTCATACCGATTCCCCATGTCTTCGTATCAAGCCTGTGTCCAAGCGGCAGAATGATGGCTTTCTCCAGGTCGCTTGTGAGACGTATGGAGGTGGTTTGTGGCATACTTGGTTCGACCGGGATCTCAGCATAGCAGGACGGGCCATGGTCAGGACAAAGGACGGCACCATTGAGCAGCGTCTTGTCAAGGTAGACCGGCCAATCCTGAGAATTCCTACCCTGGCCATTCACCTCGATCGTCAGGAGAACTTCCAGTTCAACAAAGAGACGCAGCTATTCCCTATTGCTGGCTTGGTGGCTGCCGAACTGAACCGACAGGGCAAGACTGAGGCCTCCAAGGAGGACAGCCCGGAGTCCAAGGACGAGAGCGAGCAGATTGAACCACTTGCAGCTCCACTCGCCAGGCATCACCCATACATCGTTGACATCATCGGAGAAGAGGCAGGTGCAGCGTCAGAAGACGTGGTCGATTTCGAGATGGTCTTATATGATACTCAGAAGTCAGTCCTTGGGGGTCTCAACAACGAACTCATCTTCTCCCCCAGGCTAGACAACCTCATGATGACTTACTGCAGCGTTGAAGGCTTAATCAAGAGTCTCTCTTCGTCTACAGCCTTGGACAACGACTCGACTATCCGCCTCATCGCCTGCTTCGACCATGAAGAAATTGGATCTCAAACAGCACAGGGAGCAGATTCCAATCTGTTGCCTGCTGTAATCCGCCGTCTTTCCGTTCTGCCCGCCTCGGAAAACAGCTCGGACAACTCATACGAGAAGATCGATGTTGACACGGCCACTGCGTACGAGCAAACCCTTTCGACTTCGTTCCTCATTTCCGCAGACATGGCGCATTCAGTGCACCCCAACTATCCCGCCAAGTACGAGTCCCAGCATAGACCTGAGATGAACAAGGGCACTGTGGTCAAGATCAATGCCAATGCTCGTTACGCCACAAACACTCCCGGTATTGTGCTCTTGCAAGAGGCAGCACGCCGGGCAAAGCCTGCGTCGTCTAGCCCTCCCTCGACAAAAGCAGGTGTGCCACTCCAGCTTTTTGTCGTTCGCAACGACTCTTCATGCGGCAGCACCATTGGACCCATGCTTTCTGCAGCCATGGGCACACGTACACTAGACTTGGGCAATCCTCAACTGAGCATGCATAGCATTCGTGAGACTGGTGGAGCTCACGATGTGGAGCATGCCGTTAACCTATTCGACAGCTTTTTTGAGAACTTTGAAGAGCTAGAGAAGAAGATCATTGTTGATTGAATAGATGGCTCAAGACTATAACCGGTTCAATTCAATATAGTGTCATCTGTGTAGCATGGAAAGAAAAACTCGTTGCTCAGTACTGCACCATGATGGTCGATCGGAACCCATCGGATTTATTCCGAGTCTGACCCTTGCGACTGCCCTGGTGTAGTCTCCCGCTCAGCTCCTGCTGAACGCCAAGACCCCCACTAAGCAGACCCAATGTCTTTCTTCATCGGACTTAGGCACCCAGGTTTGATTCACTTACATGTCCTCGCGCATTCACACTTGACCCCTCTCCATCATGTCAAGCCCTAGCTTCTTGTCAGGCGATCCCGAAGCTATCAATGAATTTCTCTCTAGATTTGATGTACGTACAGCATCTGCATCTGTCACAACGCTAACGTCCAATCCAAAGGTCTTCCTCTTCGACTGCGATGGTGCGCCAACCCGCCACGGTTGCTAGACAGCACCGTGGAATTGGATTATGTGACATGTGTTGATTGTGCAGAAGGATAGGCGTCCTCTGGTCCGGTGATCACCTCTATGAAAAGGTCCCAGAAACACTGGAGATGCTCAGAAGCATTGGTAGGACATTTCCGCAAGGCAGGTAATAGTGAGCTCTAATACTGTTGTTCAAGGCAAGCAGCTTGTCTTTGTGACGAACAATAGCACCAAATCTAGGGCAGACTACAAGAAGAAATTCGACAAGCTTGGAATACCAGTTGAAGTGGTACGCTTGAAGAAGCCATGTGCACAAGTATGTACTGACTGAGTAGTAGAACGAAGTCTTTGGTTCGTCCTATAGCGCCGCGGTGTATATTGCGCGCATCCTCGAACTGCCTGCACCCAAAAACAAGGTCTTCGTTCTGGGAGAATCTGGCGTAGAACAAGAACTTGAATCTGAGGGCGTCCCATTCATCGGCGGCACAGATCCAGCCTTTCGCCGTGACATTGAACCAGAGGATTTCGAAAAGATATCAAACGGAAAATTGCTCGATCCAGATGTCGGAGTTGTTTTGGCAGGTTTGGATTTCCACTCCAACTATCTGAAGACCGCAATTGCGTTCCAGTACCTTCAACGTGGCGCGTTATATCTGGCTACCAATATCGACAGCACACTTCCGATGTCGCATACGCTGTTTCCCGGCGCTGGGTCTTCTAGTGCCAGTCTTACCAAGGCGATTGGAAGGGAACCTCTTTCATTGGGCAAGCCAAGTCAAGCAATGATGGATGCTGTCGAGGGCAAGTTCAAGTTCGATCGCAGTCGCACCTGCATGATCGGTGACCGGATGAACACTGACATCCAATTCGGAATTGATGGCAAGCTAGGAGGCACACTTGCTGTGCTGACGGGTGTAAGCAAAAAGGAGGATTTCCTTGCTGAGGGAGCACCGACTGTACCCACCGCGTACGTGAATGCCTTGGGTGACCTACTCGGTTAGGGCAATTTACAGGCTACATACATCACTGTAGGGAGCCAAGATTGAGGGGACAGGGAACACAACAATAGACATCCTATCTGAGCCATTTGAGACTGTAGAACTTTTAAGAGCAAAAGGTGACCATGCCATGCAGCCTCCTTGCTGTGTAACATGCTATTGTGGTCATCACTAACTACCAGGCCAGTCAATCAGATCTTTCCATGAGCTCTGTCTCTGCGCGGCCTAGGTTACTGTGTCAAAGCCACGCTGACAGTGTGGCCGCAAGCCGCAAGCCGCAAGACTGAAAGCTCGGCCTGGCTGTACGTGTTGGACGCGTCGGCTAAAGGCGGCTAGCGGGACAGAGACGCGACGCGTTTTACACTTTAGCCATGCTCCGCATCATCAGCAACAACCATGAATCTCGTACCACGGCCACGGCCAAAAGGCAACCCAACACCATGATCCGACAAGACTATTCTAGAGTTGATGCCAAAAGACGCGCAAATCTCGATTACAAAAGAAGGCAATTTGCAAAGGCAGAGTTTCAGCAGCAAGACTATAAACACCGCCTCAACTTCTACACGCTGCCGCCCACTGCTGAGATTACTTTGGAGGAATTCGAGACCTGGGCTATACAGCGGTTGAAAGGTACGATCAAAGAAGATGATGCTTTTATCCCTTCGGCCTTCTGACCAAACGTAAAGTCCTCTCCGAACTAGAAGCATGTAGTTTTCGTAACCGTAGCCCCGAAGAGACTGCCGAGTACATGCGGAGCATACTAGACAAACATCTACCGCTACGATCCAACTCGTCCAGAAGTCAAAAGATACAAGAGGAGAGAAGGAAAGATCATTATTCACATTTCATCCTACGTCTCGCATTCGCCTCCACAGAAGACTTACGACGACGATTCTCAAGATTGGAGACGATGCTGTTTCGCCTTCGATTCAAAGATGACGATATACGCGAGCGGCAGGAGTTTGTGAAGAGCCTGAATCTGGAGTGGGAAGAAGTAGGCGATGAGGAGAAGAGGGAGCTCAAGAAGGAATTGATGGCCGCAAACCAGCAACCGAAGGGGGAAGAGCAGGAATGGTTCAAAGTGGACTGGGAGAGGGTCCCCGAACTTGTAGAGCAAAGGAAAGTTCTAATCAGAAGAGGCAAAGCCTATGTTCCGCAAAGAGAGCAGATGAGCCTAGTGGTGGCTGAATTCACGAAAAGACTGGATGAAGCCCTTGAGGTATGGTTGATAGTTCTGCTCCAAAATAGAAGCTGCTAACTCCCCCATAGCTAACAGCACGTGCACTTCCACGCCTTGATGAAGACGACCGCCTTGCGCCTATTCTCGCCCATCTGTCTCAATCCTTCACAGCGCCCGATACCGCCTACTCATCGGCCGATGCCAATATCGACGGACTTTCTACGATTACCGCAAATAGCATCGATTCCTTATCCCAGAACTTCCCTCTATGCATGCGCAATTTGCATACAACACTGCGCGAAAACTCCCATCTCAAGCACTTCGGTCGTCTACAGTACACACTGTTTCTCAAGGGCATAGGTCTCAGCCTCGACGAATGTCTTGTCTTTTGGCGTCGGTCCTTCAAACTCATAACGGACGACAAATTTCAAAAGGAGTACAAGTACAATATTCGTCACGCATACGGTGACGTGGGTGGCGACTCAAATCGACGTGGACGAGGCTACACACCCTTCTCGTGTCAAAAGCTGCTCACCGAGCCCCTCCCGGGACCCGGACAGTCACATGGCTGTCCATATCGCACTTTTACATCGGAAAATCTGATCTCGATCTTGCAACGTGTTGGTGTAAACGACCGTGACGTGCTAAAGACTGTGAAGGAGGACGTGAGCAAGCAACGGTATCATGTTGCCTGTAACAGAATATTTGAATGGAGTCATAGGCGGGAGATCAAGAAGGTCCGAGATGATGGGAGTTGGAGTGCTACGGATTTAGACACGATTGTACATCCCAACACGTACTTCAAACGGAGTTGGTTGCTGAAGCATCTCGGCGAGGGCAACGCAGGGCTTGTCGGCGAGATTGGGAAAATGGAGGAATAGGGTGTCATATTGGGTATAAAGACTGGGAGGGTTGGAAAAGTGCTTGCGGTATCTGTGGGCCAATGCAACGTCCTGTGCTAAAGGATCTCATGAAGTCCATGTCAGAGCCTTTGGGACACTTAGTTTACATTACGCAAGAAGGTCTATCTTATTCAATTCGCGCATGTGAGCTGTGCGTGCGTAGCAGTGTAGCGGTATATAACGAGAAAATTTAAGTATAAACTGCGCTCATATTTTGTCCGCCATGCCTGCGCCTCCCATCCATTCAATGTATTGCTCGATGCTCTTTTGCATTGCGTCTGTAGACTTCTCAATCAGGCCTGTCAACGGCGTCCTGCCAGCTTCGGTCTTCATGACATTGAGGTAATCATTGTTGAATGCATCGTTGATGTTGACCTTGGAAACACCGCAACTTATGCACTCCTTGAGTAGCTTTTCCTGGAACCACTCTCCGCCCGCACCGTGCAAAACTAGATTGACTCGATCTCCGACAGCCTTGTGCACACGTCTTAGACGCTCGTAATCGAGTTGGGGTCCTCTTGGTCCGTAATGGCCATGAACGTTACCAAAAGCAGGAGCAAGCCAATTGATGCCCGTGGCAACAAAGTCTTCTGCCTGTTCTGGGGTGGTGAGTATGGCTTCGAGGCCCATTTCGCTCAAATCGCCGACACCGTCTTCCCCACCATCGATCCGACCAGGCTCAGCCTCTGTAATGATACCACGCTCGTTGCAGTATTCGACCAATTCCCTTGTCTTCTCCAGATTGTCGTCATAATGGCTCATGTCCACCATGATGCCGTCGAAGCCATTTTTGAAATTTGCCGCCCGTCTTACAATTTCGGGTGTTTGCGCATGGTCCATGTGTAATGCAATGGGCACGCTGGCGTTGTCTGCGGCTTCGCGGGCAGCATGGACTAGGAGACCGTCTGCGTAGTAGACGGCCCAAGGAAACAGCTGAACGATCAAGGGAGCACGTTTGGCCTCGGCTGCTCTTACAGAGGCTAGGATGCCCTCAACATTGTAACAGCAAGTGGCACAGATGGCGTAGTTGTTCGCAGCAGCGTGCTTGACTAGTTTGATGGCCTTGTTTTGTGAGAGATCGGGAGCCATGGCGGGGATGTCTTTGAGCGCGTGTTGCTGGTGTACCGGCAGCAGAGAGAGCGAGGGGGAGGGGGGAGAGACGCTGATGGCAACAAGTCTCCAATGAGGATGAGCACAGGCAGCCTATTATGAGGGCCATGACGAGACAGCTGCCCCTCGTGTTTCCGGACATTATTCCGAGTTTCCGAAGCTGCGATTGTGAATGGGCTTTCGGCCTCTGCTCTTCTCGTTTTGCGGCGAAAGCACCGATTTTCGGCTCAACTTCCGCCCAATCTGTCCCTTGCTCGGATGATTATTGGTGCGAATGGTAGACATGTATACCACGATAGCACTACCACCATGTCCACGTCTGGAAAGGTCATCTGCGTGTGCAGCTACCGCGGTATTTGACTGTGGTAACCAACCGGTATACCCAGTTATTGGTTCTCGCTGTTGGTGTACGGTAGGGCAGATAGTAGGTAGGTAGGTACTCTACGCAGCCTTTTTCATCTTTAAACCCCCGAACAAAGCTACCTACCTACACTGCCCACACGTACATGGTTCAGTAGGCAGGTAGGTATATTATGTACAGTATGGCTAGTATACCTACCTACCTACATGTCCCCTACTCTATCGCACTCTTTCCTTTTGCAAACGTTTAACATGCAGCCAAATGCGCATGGCTACATCCACGATATGCCGCCCAGAAGGGCTGCGAGTTTTCGTCTGGAGGTCCAGTCGTGTTTTCTGGACTTGATGTAGTGGTGAATGTGCAACGAAAGAAGTTGTCTAGGCGTGGCCCGAGTAAGTCCGTAAGCCACCTTTATGTTCCGGATTAAATTACTGACTGACCTTCTTCGTGTTCCGGATTACTGACCTCCGCCTATTTTGGTGTCGCATGCCAAGCCTTCCCCCCCCCACAGCCGCGGGTCGTGATTTAGCGCGTCCTACCTGACGCGTCTTCCCCAGACAAAATAGCAGCTAACTTTCACTCGTAGTGCAACTCAACGTCTTCTCGACCTTGGTGGCGATTCACTGTTTCACCTGCTCTATCTTCTTATTCCCCAACTTCGTATTCATGGCCCGTGGTGTGGAAGGCAACGAAATGTCTACCCCCAAAGCCTCACAAAAGAAGCAGCCTGCCTCTACCTCACAATCTGCAAAGAATCAAAGGTCCATCTTAGGCTTTTTCCAGAAGAAATCGACCAATTCACCTAGCCCAGCACCGTCGGAATCAGTTTCATCCAGCAAGACCCCGACATCCACTCTAGCCAGGAGAGCTTTCACCAAACCGAATGCAGCCATAACTCCTTTACCCAGCAGCGATGCACCCGATCTCTCGAGCCCAATCAAGCTGGAACGTGAGTTGACTGTGGGGAGGAACAAAGAGAATGGTCTGTCTCTGCCCGGCTTGAGAGACACGCCCATGCTGACCGTGGCTTCCCAGAAGTTGTAGGCATTGCGCCCAGTAGTCCGTCTAGGAAGGTATATGGGGATAGATAGTCCTTTCTGAAAGCCACGTGACTCAGCTGACCCCTTTCAAACAGGCTCGAAAACCTGTCAACTATGCAGAGTCAGACGAGGACGACGACAGAGAAGACGAGGTCCTTGGCCTCGTTGGCAACAACGTGAGAGGTCGCACCATAAAGCGTAGAAGAATCATCGTCGAGGAAGATTCAGATGATGAGTTCGGCATGGATGCAGCTACGCAGCAGGCCATGATCGACGACGATGTGGATGACTTTATTGTCCCCGACGATTCTGAAGAAGACCGGGCCGTAGCGAAAAAACGCAAGCGAGGAGTTCCGGCCACAGCGCGCAGCAAAAATACGCCCGCATCCTCTCCACCGGTGCTGACTATCAAGTCTGAGGCAACAGAAGACGAAGACGGACATGAAGAGGTGGTCATGACCACTACTTCGACCACGCAGCAATGGATTTATGACCCTGAAAACCCTGCGGTACTGAAACAACGGTCAGCTCCGACTCCCAGAAGTAATGCTCGCAATAAGCCCAAGGAACGACCTTCCGCTTCAGAACCAGAGACGAGATACTCATGGCTAGCACATATGCAGGACGCTGATCGTCATCCTGACGACCATCCCGACTATGATCCTCGTACGCTGTATATCCCCCCAGGAGCGTGGGACCAATTCTCGCCGTTTGAGAGACAATACTGGGAAATCAAGAGCAAGTTCTGGGACACCATCGTGTTTTTCAAGAAGGGCAAGTTCTATGAACTGTACGAGAAAGACGCGACAATCGGACATCAGCTCTTCGACCTGAAACTGACTGATCGTGTCAACATGCGTATGGTCGGGGTACCAGAGGCTTCCCTTGATTTGTGGGCAGCACAATTTGTCGCTAATGGGCACAAAGTTGCAAGGGTTGATCAGATGGAGTCAGCTCTGGCTAAAGAGATGCGTGAGCGTGATGATGTTGGAGAGAAGAGCAAGGGTTCCAAAAAATTAGACAAGGTTATTAGGCGTGAGCTTGCAGCTGTACTCACTTCGGGCACCCTTGTGGACGCTGGAATGCTTCAAAGCGACATGTCAACTTATTGCATGGCCGTAAAAGAGATTGACCGGGATAATCTGCCTGCTTTTGGTGTTGCATTCGTCGACACGGCCACTGCACAGTTTCAGCTTTGCGAATTCACTGACGATATCGACATGACGAAATTTGAAACGCTCATTGCGCAAATGAGGCCTGGGGAACTCCTCCTGGAGAAATCTTGTCTCTCCGCTAAAGCTATGAGGATCCTCAAGAACAACACAGCGCCTTCGACTATCTGGAACACACTGAAACCAATCAAAGAGTTCTGGCCAGCCGATACGACCATTCGTGAGATAGATGCGAACAACTACTTCGAGTCGCCTACCGAACATAATATCGAGGCCTGGCCGCCAGTGCTCCGCGAGGCGCGCGAGCAGGAGCTCGTCATGTCGGCTTTCGGTGCTTTGTTGCAGTATCTCAGGACCCTCAAGATCGAGCGCGATTTAGTCACACTTGGGAACTTTCAGTGGTACGATCCCATCCGCAAAGCCACAAGTTTAGTTTTGGATGGCCAAAGCTTGATCAATCTTGAAGTTTTTGCCAATACATTCGACGGTTCATCTGAAGGCACACTATTCGCCATGTTGAACCGCTGCATCACGCCGTTTGGGAAGCGACTGCTAAGGCAATGGGTCTGCCATCCGCTTGCAGACGCCCAGAAAATCAATGCGCGCTTAGATGCTGTGGATGCCTTGAACGCTGATTCCACTGTAATGGACAGTTTCAGCTCTTCACTCAGTAAATTGCCCGACCTCGAGCGTCTCATATCTCGTGTGCACGCGCTTCGCTGCAGGGCTCAAGATTTCCTTAAAGTACTGGAAGGATTTGAGCAAATTGAGTACACGATTAGCTTGCTCAGACAATTTGGCGATGGCGAAGGTGTTATAGGACAGTTGATCTCTTCAATGCCAGATCTTAACACCGCTTTGTCGAAGTGGAAATCAGCGTTCGACCGTAATGTTGCTAAAAAGGAAGGCATCTTAGTACCTGAGCTCGGCATCGAAGAAGACTTCGACAATAGCCTAGCAGAGATCGAAAGTTGTCGAGCTGACATGGATGTCTTGTTGAAAAAGGCACGAAAAGACTTGGGATGCAACACGATCTGCTTCCGTGATAATGGCAAGGAGATCTGCCAACTCGAAGTACCAAAGAAAGTCAAGGTTCCAAGCAGCTGGGATCAAATGTCTGCCACTGCCAAGGTCACACGTTACTACTCTCCTGAGCTTCGCAAGTTGGTTCGAAAGCTCCAAGAAGCTCAAGAAATACACGGACAGATTACTCGCGAGGTTGCAACACGTTTCTGCAAGCGCTTCGACGAGGACTACAAGACTTGGCTCGCTGCTGTCAAGATCATCGCCCAACTCGACTGTCTGATCAGCTTGGCAAAGGCCTCTGCTTCTCTCGGAGAACCTAGCTGCCGTCCGGTATTCGAAGAGGGCGATCGCACCGTTATTCAACTTGAGGAGCTCCGCCATCCTTGCATGCTCAACACTGTTGGCGACTTCATACCAAACGACATCAAGCTCGGCGGTGACACAGCTAACATTAGCTTACTCACTGGTGCTAATGCAGCAGGTAAATCAACAATTCTGCGAATGACGTGTATTGCTGTTATCCTCGCCCAAGTCGGCTGCTATCTGCCGTGTACATCCGCAAGACTAATGCCCGTTGATCGTATCATGTCACGTCTTGGGGCAAATGACAATATCTTTGCTGCACAATCTACTTTCTTCGTTGAACTCTCCGAAACGCAAAAGATCCTCTCTGAAGCAACCCCTCGATCCCTCGTCATTCTAGACGAGCTTGGTCGCGGTACATCGTCCTACGATGGTGTCGCTGTTGCACAAGCCGTCCTACACGACATTAGCACACGTGTAGGTTGCGTCGGCTTCTTTGCTACTCATTACCGGTCCCTAGCCAAGGAATTCGAATTTCACCCCGAGGTTCAGAACAAGAGAATGCGGATCCATGTCGACGATGACTCCAAGTCTATAACGTTCTTGTATAAACTTGAAGAGGGTGTCGCCGAAGGCAGTTTTGGTATGCACTGCGCAGCCATGTGCGGCATACCCAGTAAGGTTATTCAGACTGCGGAGAAGGCAGCGCGAAAATGGGAACATACTTCAAGGCTGGGTGAGCGTATGGAAGTCAACAAGGGTGAGGGTGGAGTGTATGTGCCGCTGGGCCTGCAGAGTGATGTTGCCTGGACGCTGAGAGAGGGTCTTGATGGGGTCGGCGATCGCGCCCTCGAAGTGCTGCTCAAAGCTATCGCGACGTTGTGAGTGTTTTGTTGCAGTGTCGCGTCTTTGCGAGCATATTAATACAAAGGTCACTCGATAGTATTCCGACACCAAGAGCATGGTTTAGGGTAGGTCTCGGCTTGGCGTTATGGGGACCATTCTGTCGATCTTACACAGATCTCAATATTTGGAATCAAGATGTAAAGTTAGTTCATGCGAGTACTCGCTAGCATTGCTTGCAGCACCATGATGTAGAACGTGAACAGTATGTTCATCGCGTTGCGTAGTCGTCCGATTTTCTTGGTAGTCAACAATGAAACCCCAACTGGTGGAGCAGTTCTTGGGGAGCCAATGTCAGGTTGCCAGTGTTCTCTTGCAAAGCACATGCTTGACATGAATTGGCTTAGATTACAGTTACCATGGTTGGAACTACCTTCACAACGAAGACGTCTTCAGAGGGCAATCAGCAGCTCTAAACTCCAATGTAGTGACATCGCCTGCATATTTCAAACCACATACTACCAGTTCCATACCAAAATGCATCACCAGCCGCAATCACGCAACGCAGCACCCTTAGAAGCCCATTCCCTGTGCTGCAAAGCTTTCGAGCCCCTCCAACATGGCAAACGCGCCATCTGCATCCTCTTTCCCACCATCCATAGCATCTTCGAATAACTCCTTCTTTACTTTGATAGACTCCTCGGTCTTTGTCATCTCCTCGTCATCGTCCTCATCATCCTTGGCGCTGTGCTGTTGCTTTGGGCGTCCACCGCTTTTCTGTCGCTTACTCGGAGTCTCGTTTGCAGGCGCGCCACGCTTCGACCCTGCAGTGGACTTGGGAGTCACTGTCTTCTTGGGAGTTGTGGGACCGCTCTTTGAGGTGAGAGAGTCGCCGAGAATTTTGAGCTTCCTCTTGATGTTACCCATGGTGACAGAAGCGCTGCCAGGAGTGTACTATATTTGAAGTTAGCACTTGTGGTCTGGCTCGAAAGGAGAGAAGTGCGGGACAGTGGAACATAAGTGCTTACGCCAGTAAGGGAAGCCAATTTGTGCGTGTCAATCTGTTATTTTGTTAGCTGATTGCTTAAACAGGCTGCAAAGAGAAGCCAATAGTCTTTGCCAACCGTGTTGATTACGACTGTTGGAGAGGACGTGACAATGGAATACATACCTTGGGCTGTACATCCATGCACTGCCAGGCGAGGGCGAGGACTTCCATTTCTCGAGCCGAGAGGGGGTTAATCTTGTCGCCTGCCATGTCGTAGTTGCCTGATGAGAGAATTGTCTTGTATACACTTCGAAATGAAACTTGACAAGATTGATCTTATCGCGTGAAAGAGTGATTAGGAACAGGAGCAAGGACGACGAAAACTTGTGTTTAATATGCGGCTGTCTCACTCGGAAAGTGTCTTATGGTCTTGGCGAGGGGTAAGCAGCCAAGGTGAAAGTGAAGGTGAACGGAATAGTCCATAGATGAAAGTGCGCTGTTACCAGAGAGCGGGTGAGAGAAGATCAGAAGCAATAAATGCCGCTAATGTCCAGGAGACAGGACTATGTAGGAGTTTGCTCGATTTGTTTCACGCCGGCACAAAAATGGACAATACCTTCTTCTGGTCAAATGTCAATAACCGCACTGCAAATATAAGTCGGCACTGTGTAATTAATCCCAGGATTACAATTTAAGGTATTGCCATATACATGGGCCAAATTCATTTTTTTAAAATACATAAATTGTGCTAAGCCATGCCCATCGAGAGGGTAATCATATCCGTCGTACTTCCTTACCCTGCAGTTCCGGGCGTTCTACGTCAAGCTCGTCCCGCAATGCTGCGTATAAAGAGTCGCCAAGGATGACAGATAGTCCCAGGCTCCACACCAAAGTGATGGCATAAAAGAAATTTGCGTTTCCAGAACCTGCATAGATCCAGAGGTGATAGAAGGCAGGCCCGAGGAAGGATGTGTACAAGATGCTCGAAGCGGCCAGGAAGGTATAGCGCATCACTTGTGTGTGGTCAGTAAGGTAGTATGCCGGTGAACAGAGAACAAGGCTTACTGGGAAACAAATGGCGGAAGAGAGGGACTACTGCAAGATACAATGCAGCATCAGCTATGCTGGGATAGGGTGTGAAAATGGTGAAGACGCCAATCAAGCTACACGCAACAAATACAGGTTGTCGGTACAATCGAATCGTGAGACCAGGCATGTAGGAGGCCGCATGGAGCCAGAAGACGGCCAGAAAGAACTCGCGGAATGAATCGAACATTTCTATGAAGAAGTACCACCAGAGCCCCACATTTGGCGTGAGGTCTGGTAAGAGAAGGCGCACCCCATAGGTAGCGGCAAGAAAGTCCCAAGAACCTGTTAGGAAAGCAGAAGCGGAGAGTAATGCGCCCATTGAAGCAGCGAGTGCTACCGAGTGAATGGCTGTAAAGGACCACACATCTGGGGCAGATTTGGTCTTGATGGAGCGGGCATCGTACAACAGCATCAACACTGGGGGAAAAAGGAGTATGGGATGCATAGCCAGGTATGCAGCGAAGGCAACGGATAGAACGAAGGTAACGCTTGCGCCCTGGGAAGCCTTGGCCATGGCCGTCAGGATGAACATATTGGAAAGGGCTGAGGTGGAGCGGGCGATGCATGTTGCAACCGTAAAGGGATTGAAGAGGAAGCTGGATAGGGTCAGTCTCCATGTCCCATGGGCCAGAGAGTTGGGGAGTTGGAGAGCGAGGCCAGGACGTACCCAGCAGCAATGGCCATGCTACTCCATTTCAGGTGCTTGCGCGAAGAGGCGAAGAGGCGGGTGACGGATGCAAAGCCACTGTCTGCCAGCTGAGCCAATGCATTCGCGCTGAGCAGGTCGACGACGACGAAGAGCAGGTTTGTCGCAAGGGGGGCATGCGAGGGGTCTGGCAGTAGGGAGAACAGCGGCAGGAGGAGGGGCGCCTGGTGGAAGACGCCACCATCATAGGGCGAGAGGTTGTGGGTGTAGAGGAAGACGCCCTCTTGCACTATGGAAATTGATAGGTCAGCGACACTGTGATTCATGGATGGTGGCGGAGAGGGATGGATAGGCGCATATGTACATCGCTTGAAGCTTGTGACTGGTGTCGACACCTCGACGCGGCCAGCGAGAAGGGCGGGTAGGGAGGGAAAGAAGGTGAAGAGTAGCAGTCTCAAAGCTGCGGCGGCGCCAAAGAGAAGGGCGCGCTGCTGTGTGTCCATGGCATGTGCTAAGGATTGCGATGAGGGCGACATCGACGATCTGGACGACAACAAGAGCGACAACAGCGACAATAAGGAGGCTGAGTACTGCTCAATTGCATTTCACGGCGCAGCCCCAAGTGATAGATGGATGGGTGTTCGTACGTACGAAGTATGCTTGGTGGTTGGTGGTTGGTATTCGGTATGCTAGCATGTACACATGGCCGCGCGTACTGTGTATACTTGGTCCCTCCCTCCATCCCATATGCAGACTAGACTGCTGCAGGAACGCCAATGCCGAATTGGGACTAGTTCCACCTACCTAACGACCGGGCCCATGTCGGCTAATCTGTCGCATCCTCCAACTTTTTTTGTCTCTCGTCCCGCAGAAAAAAAGTGTCAATCTTAGGACGGCTAATCCCCAGAAAGTTATTTGGCCATTCACCCATCACATACATCTCTCCCCTTTCCCCTCTTCCCCCTCTCCAGCCACTATCATGGCTGGTCGCTCAAAGAAAAAGGGTATGTATGCACCACCACCACCAACCACTATCGACACCCCCCCCCAGTCCCTCTTCCATACCCACAGCATTTTCTCTCAAGGAGCAATGAATCTATTGAACCTAATTGTACTAATCCTCTATCTACACCAGGCACCTCTGGTGCAGCCAAAAACTACATCACCCGTACCCGCGCCGTCAAGAAGCTGCAAATCTCGCTGCCCGACTTCCGCCGCCTGTGCATCTTCAAGGGCATCTACCCCCGTGAGCCGCGCAACAAGAAAAAGGTCTCCAAGGGCTCCACCGCCGCCACCACCTTCTACTACACAAAGGACATCCAGTACCTGCTCCATGAGCCGCTGCTGGCCAAGTTCCGCGAGCACAAGGCCGTGGCAAAAAAGATTGGCCGCGCCCTCGGCCGCGGCGAGGCTGGCGATGCTCAACGCCTGGAGAAGAACCTCATGCCCAAGGTCAAGCTCGACCACATCATCAAAGAGCGTTACCCCACGTTTGTCGACGCCCTGCGTGACCTCGACGATGCCCTGTCCATGCTCTTCCTCTTCGCCAATCTACCCTCGAGCGAACACATTCCCGCAAAAACAATTGCTCTCTGCCAGCGCCTGACGCGCGAGTTCGAGCATTATGTTATCACCTCGCACGCTTTGCGCAAGTCGTTCCTATCCATCAAGGGCATCTACTACCAGGCCACCATTCAAGGTCAGGACATCCTCTGGCTACAAGAAGTAGGCGAGTTTAACGAAACTTGATGTTAAAT